TGTTCTACCCCAAATAATCTTCTCTGACATTGGTTGACTTAAGTGCTGTGACATGCAAATCAACAGATGCAGCAACACTTACCGGAAATAGGCCTTTGTTGTTCCTAATCGTCATTTTATCGAAGTTAACTACACACTTTCTTTGTAGTAAGTAGTCCAACTCTAGTATGCATTGGTCTTCAATGTCAGTCAAGTATACTTTGTGTCTGTCCTTCATGCCCATGAGCTCAATAGTTACCCACACTGGTCCCCACAACCTTGCATAATGTCCTGTCACACCACAGAGCTTCTGTATGGTTTCTGGTACTCCTTTGTGATCTAGCAACTTGATACTCACAAGGGTTTGCTGAGATGCAGAATATATGACAGAGTTGCACTTTTGGCCATCCAGCTTTCCTGTCACGTAGACACAATGTGTGCTTGGTATTTTACACCTAGCTGTTGGGACTTTCACGATTGGGTTTGGTGGGCATCCCTCAACACCAACCACTACTGGTCTCCCAGAGACTGACTTGTTGGTAGTATTCTTCTTACACTGGCTCCTCATATGTCCTTGTTCTCCACAGTTCCAACAACGTTTCTGGGTGGCATCTTCCCTGTGTTGAAGTTGCCAGCATTGAGCTCTCTTGTGTCCTGGTTTGTTACAGTGCTAGTAAAGTCCTTCAAACTTCTCTGAAAGCTGTCCTTTTCTGGCCTTGAATCCTGATGAGTGCACCAACCTTGGTACCTCTGTGCTGGACTTAACGTAGGATTCAAATTCAAGAGCTCTGGCCATTGCATCTTGTATAGTAGAGGGGTGTGCTTGCTTCAATTGTATCTTCAGTTGTGGACTGTCCAAGGCATCTACAAACTTATCCTTCAGCAACAACTTGAGGAGATTGGGTGGCACAGTTGGGTAGGCCTTGTGTGCCATACTTTCCAAATCCTGTGCCAGCTCTTGCAGGCTCTCCCCTTTAGCACGGACTCTCGTCCTAAACCTAGCCCTGTAGACTTCAGACTGATTTTGGGTTCCATACCTGAGTTCTAGTGCCGCTACCAGTGCTCTATAGTTGTGTCTGTCGTCTGCTGACAACTGTCCAAGTATTTCCAGTGGTTGTCCCTTCAAGCTCGTTGCCAGATATACTGCTTTCTGCTCCTCTGTCCATCCATTCATCTCTGCCAGAAGCTCAAATTGTGCTCTATATGCTTCCCACGGTGCCTTCCCATCGAATTCCTGTGGCTTCCTTTGTACTAGATCACCCCTATTGCGGACATTCATATCTGGGATGTGACTTCTAACAGGACTCAAGATGTCTGCATTAGGGTTTAGCTGTGGGGACTGGAAGGAGCTTCCCGTTGCCTGAGGCTGATTACGTCGATGGCTAATATATCCTCCTTGTGTAAAAGACAGTAAATTATTCTTTGATGTATCTAATTCGCTTTTAAATTTACTAATGTTTTCCATTTGTACTTTTTGCCACTGTTGTTGACTTTCCTGCAACTGTTGCAGACTTTCTTCTGTTTCCTTTCTTGTTCCAGTTGCCACTGCTGTAGTCTCTCTTCTTGTTTATTTTCTTTCTCCTCCAACAACTGCTGTGATCTCTCTTCTTGTTTCTTATCTCGTTCTTCTTGTTTATTTTCTTTCTCCTCCAACAACTGCTGTGATCTCTCTTCTTGTTTCTTATCTCGTTCTTCTTGTTTATTTTCTTTCTCCTCCAACAA